CCTACAACAGGCCCCACTTCATCCCGACAGGCCCCACTTCATCCTGTGATAAAAGAAAGACCATTCCAATTAGTTTCCATAGATTTTCAGGGTCCACTCCCACGCTCAACTCATAATAAACGATAGATCCTGGTTCTCCAGTGCAAGTTTACCAAATTTCTGGAAGCTTACGCTTTACCTAACCAAGAATCTAGAACAGTCGCAGATGTCTTAATAGATCGCTTCATCCCGCATTTTGGAATACCAGAAACATTCCATACTGATCAGGGATCTTGCTTCATATCTAAACTGATGAAAGATCTATACTTATTACTTCATATTAGAAAAACGGAGACACCAGCATACACTCCAAGTTTCAACGGACAAGTTGAAAGGTCAAATAAAGTTATTGCAGAATCATTATCAGCAATCCTTAAACTGTGTTCAACTGGTAAACTATCAGAATGGGATCGTTACCTCCCACTCGTCTGCTTAGCATATAATACCACTAAACATTTACAAGAACTCCACTTGACGCTATATTTGGGACCAACAATGGAACAGCTTACCAAACAGTTGATCATTATGCTAAACAATTAACTGATAATCTTCGAACTGCTTTTCAAGAGGTCCATCGACATACCGAATTAACAGGTTTTATAAGAAAATACGCGGACGAGCTTATAAAGTTGGGGATAATGTATTTCTACGTCGTATGATGTTTGACGCAGGTGAATCTAAGAAACCGTTGGAAAGGTCCATATACAGTCATAACAGTCTTGGGAGAAACAACTTATGAAATATTTGATGAACTCAGAAAACATAAAATTATCGTTCATTATGAAAACCTGAAACCAGCCTATATGAGAGAAGTACCTGAAAGTGAACTTACAGAGCCTGTTGAACACAATTCACTTAATAAGTAATAAGTCCGAGGTCATTCGCCAAAAACGGTCGATCTAGATGAGTCTGTCTGTCTGTCTGTCTGTCTGTCTGTCTGTCCGTCCGTCATTGAGGCGAGTGTGGAGAGGAAGATAGCCAATGAGAAGTGGTGTGAGGGACACGAGCGGGGCTATTGTCGTTGGCGGTGAGTGGGAATGGAAGACGGGACTAGGATTAAAAGATTGTTAGTGTAATGTGCAATCTGTAATAAAGTTTATTCGAAGCTGAACACCTTCTTGAGTTCCAACCAACGGTACGACACTCTTATCAATCTGATTAAAACACAGATCCTATTTCGTTTCGTTTTTATAGTTCAAAATTTCGTTTTACTTGTCTTTATTACACTAGGATCTGGAAGAGTTGTTATCATTGACGTGTTCTGAATACTGTGAGGTATTAGCCAATGAAACGGTCTGTTACGGCGAGCTTTAGGCGTGTTTTGCACGGAACTGTGGGTAATCCACTAGCAACATCAATGCTGGTTGGTTAATCAAATGTCTGACGTCATAGGGTCAAAAGCTGCTCGTATGACCTCTGACGTGACCTATCGCAACAACCGGTCATATCTTCATGTAGTGTAGGCCATCGAAAGTATAAAAAACGAAACGAAATATAGATATCTGTATTTTAATCAGATTGGACTCTTATCTAATGATCTATATTTTGTTGGTTTTTTTTACATTTTCGATGGCCTACACTACATGAAAATCGGACATGTTGTACTATAAGGTCGTGTCAGGGGCCGTATGAGCGGCTTTGACCCTATGACGTCAGACATTGATTAATTAATCAGCGTTGAGGTTTTTAATGGTTTACCCACAGTTTTGTGCATGGCACGCCAAGAAGTCGCCGTAACATACCGTTTCATTGGCTTATCCCTCACTTCAAACAAAACGCCGGTAATATAACAACTCTTCCCGATCCTAATGCAGTGAAGACAAGTAAAAGGAAATTTTGAACTATAAAAAACCCAAAGGAAATAGGATTTGTATTTTAATGAGATTGGTTATCCAAAATTCTGATAAAGTATCATCCCCTTCCCTCTTTTTGGACATCCATTTTCAATAAGACGGTACTTCTCACCCTGTACATATAAACTATACATTTAACAATTCACTTTCATATATTTGTACTTATGGCTCGTCGGCAATATCAATATATCTATACAGATTTGTCTTCTGAGATCCTTATCACATCGACAATGAGTGTACGGTGCACGTGCGATTGAATTCACACCACCGATGTTTCGTCGGCAATGGTTTGACAGGCATATGACCATCGTGGTCACGTGGTGGTGTTAAACTTGCATATAAATTGATTTTAAAAAAAACCCAAAACAATCATACACACAGAGGCGTCTATTAAAAAATCTCAATTATAAAACCTGATGTACGGTTAATAAAATTTCGGGAATAATATATACTCTTCAAAAAAAAGTAAGGGTATTGAAATACAAATACCTATGCAGGTTGCGATATGATAAATAGTCATGGACATTTGACATGCTTTCAGAGTATGTTCACAGATGAAGAACTTATCGCCCCAACAGAATCCCTGAGCTGCACATGCAACACGCAATAGCGCCATACACGTGGGAGGGGTTCATTGTCAAATTTGACACTTTAAGGAAGAGTTGATGAAAATTGCCGCGTGCTGGTTTATCTATCCATGTTTGCTTTCCTATCGGTTCTTGCATAAGATTTACTGTTTAGCGTATCTTTGCTTTAGTGTGTTATGTTTAATTTGATCGGGAGACGTGTTCGTCGACGTCAACGTCAACCGACAACACTGCAAGAATTGGCCGTGGCACTGCAAGAGGAGTGGGTCAGATTGATCCAAATCGTGATTGGACGGTTGATTAGGAGCATGCCACGACGAATTGCTGAATGTCTGAGGATTGGTGGAGCAATTAATCATTATTAAGACAAAAATCAAAAACGTCCATTTTCACTTTTGACGGTGTATCTCTTTGCGAGTGAAATGGGGCCGTCAGATAAGTCGCCCAGATTGGCAACTGGCCTGTTATTAACATACACTGGTTACCTCTAATAAAAACAGCAGTGTATTTCCGCAGTTTTGTATTGTTTCTGAATATCCCCTACTTCTTTTGAAGAGTATATATATACTAAACAGCGAAAAAAACGCCAGTACGATTTCAAAATCAGAGAGGCACATTAATCAAATCATTCTAGAAAACGACTTACTAAATGGATCAAAGCAATTTTTTGGTAACAGTATGTTGACACATTCTGAGAAGGGTTAGAGTCTGTACACAGTCTCTCAACCGAGAGTGTCAATAACATCAGCACAGCCTCGGTACATTGAGTGGACCAGACGATTGATGAACGCCATTGGCACCTGGAACCACACTCTCAGAAAAGCCTTGCGCAATCCATCGGCTGTGTTTAGTCTCGGTACGACTTCATTAAGTCTCCTCTGAATTTCATCACAAAGATATTCAATCGGGTTTAAGTCCGGACTAAGGGCTGGCCAGTACATAACGTTGACGCCGTTCTGCTGTAGAAAGTCCCGATTAATTCTGACGATGTGGGCACGGGCGTTGTCATGCTGGAAAACCTTATTTCGATGACGTGGTATGACATGGTGTCTGAGAGCTTGACCGATGTAGCGCACTACCGTGATGCCGCCTCCTCTCCCTGGGCCAAGATTTTGGAACATCACAGGACCCACTCTCTGGTTCAGGCCTATACCACCGCAAACCATTATGCTTGGACCTCCCCATGAGTCTCGTTCCATGACCCATTGGTCAGAATAACGCTGGCCGCGTCGTAGTCGACGCCATATTTTGGTCCTGCCATCTGCAGTTGATACGCAATACCGACTCTCATCTTTGAACAGAACAGTTCTCCATTGCCTGTGTCGCCAGTTCTGGTGCTGTTGGGCAAACTGTAGACGTTCACCGCGATGGCGAGGGGTGAAGATCGGTCCACGGTAAGGTCTACAGCAATGGATGTTCTCTCTGGTGAGACGTCGGCGCACTGTATCGGTACTGATGGGTCTTCCGTGTGTTTCCACTATCTGACGTGCTGTCACAGATGCCTGTGAGAAGGGATTCTGCACGTGCTGTCGCACAGTAGGCGGTCTTGTCGCCTTGTGGTAACCCTTGGTCTACCAGTTCGGGGGCGATCATGCGTGGTGTTGATGGCCCGAAAGCGTTGCGGAAGCCTGTAGATGGTCCGAATATTGCCTTTGAAAGTGATTGACAACGACTTTGGCAGTCTGGCCAGCGTCCAGTCTTCCAAGCGCCTGGTTCCTGAGCTGTCGTGAGTCGTGGCATGCTGCTGCCGTTGTAGTGTGAATGATTCAACCAGGTATGGGGGTGCATTTTATAGGGCAGGCCCCCGTTTCTCGAAATCTTAACTAAATTTAAAATCCAAATTTTAGTAGATACTTCAATTTTGACTGGCTAAGCACTAAAATCAATCTAATACTGTCCAATCAAATTACTAAAATTTTGATTTTATCTTAGTTAAATTTTGTGAAAATCATGGAGAACTTATTACCATCTCAGAAGTCAGGTTGCGTTTTTGAGAACATTTCTTGGGTTCAATTCTGTGTTTGTTTGGGAAGGAACCTTATTGCTGTGGAGCTGTGGTCACAAATATACAATAAACACATTTGCCAAGTTTTATGCAATGCGTCTATTCAGAGCAACATACCAACCTGACATTTCTTTTGCGACGTGGTTTCTCCTTGTCAGTGGTGCAGAACGGAGGGCCTGACGAGGACAGCTGTCTAGTCCTTCCAATGAGACGAAAAACCGAGGTCCCGTGTATACATTGGAAAATATCCCTTGGCAGTTGGAATTCGATATAAGAGTAGGCGATAGTGCCGCTGCCCGGGCAAAATTTCCCTCATAGCACACTGTATGACGTATGCCCGTCATCATTAGCCCAGTATAGGAGCAGAACAGTAGGACGTTAAACCCCATTTCATTTCATTTCATTTCTTTTGCTGCTTCGTTTACACCGGAGGAAAATACTTTGTCAGATATTTACAAAAAACAATTCACTAACTGCAGTAGGCACGTTTTACACACATTTAGCAATAAATCTTACCTTTTTGTTTCATTCGCAGTTCATAGTATTGTATTCCAGAAGGTGGTTTTCCGTCAATTTCATCCGGGCATATAACACTAAAGTAGATTAATACAGTAAACTCTCCTTTCATTTTGATTGGAAATCTCTGCAATATGTAATAAAACGGCGTAAAAAAAACACTATCTAAATAGAAAACTGTGCGCATGTCCCTGACACTTGCTTAAAAATTAGCACTACCTCTGTGATTTGGATGAAAAATAAAATTGTCGATTTTACTTTGTTTATCTATTGGGCTAATAATGAAGACAGTCATAGGCCATACACTATGCCATGAAGTAAATTTTGCTCGGACAGCGGCGCTATAGCCTACTCTTATTTCGAATTTCAACTGTCAAGAGTTCTTTAATATACATGACTATAGAGGTTTGGTAATCCCCGCAAATACTTTCGGTCAACGTCGGTATACACCCCGGACCGTCTAGTTAGCCGTGCACATTAATAAAAGTTGCACAGAACTTTTGTTAAAGGAGCTAAACCTCTAACTCAATATTATCCATAATGTTCGAAATTAAAAACACGAATTAGAATTAAATATTGGTCCATTTCAATCAATATTGGTGTTGTAATCTTGTCGTGAAAATATGGGATCCTAATATCCAATTTTTAAGACACAATGAATATTTTATAATCAATACATGAGTCGTGTATTCAATGGTTTCGGGTGCCATTTGTAATGAACACAAGATGATGCGAAAGTAATTAGTAATGTCCGAGTCACAAACGACAAGAAAAAAAATAATAATAAAAGTGCTGAATTGATTAAAGAATCGTAATTGAATGTCGGGAATGTCGGTCAATTTGGATTGTTCACGTATTTCACCGAACATAATTAATTAGAAATAAAAATATATATATTTTAAAAATTAAATATAAATCACCTTGATACATTAATATGTGCTTTTATACCCATTTTCATCTATTTAAGGCCCAAAAGAATAGAGCCATAGTAATTTAGAAATTCTAACAGTTTAATCTGTGCTACTTGTATTTTTCTTGAATAATGTCCATGATTTACTTATCTCTCTATAATGTCGCTTACTGTAATGTATAGAAACCTGTTGCGGCTATTTTGAAATCTTAACTTCTCGCTCCCTCATCCACGACTTTTTGCTGTACTGCGTTTGAAAATCTTTGCCTTTTGGACTTCTCACCCCTCGACCTCTCGTCCCGACTGTTGGCCACAACAGGCTTCCATAGTACCACAGTAAACAAACCTTATTTTCGTAGCCTACCGATTTAAGAATCCACAGTAAACACAGATATTATTTTCTTTGGTCTATGACATCAGGCATTTGATATTAAAGGTGCTCTTTTATTTGGACAGATCCTTTGTTAATAAGCGGATTCTGAAAGTAAGCACCAAACGTTTTGCGCTTTTGAAAAAAACTACGCGACAACTTAAGCGACGAGTTTGGCGACAAATATCGCCGCAATTTAAGTGAAGTGATTACATTATACGACGACTTTGCCGATCACACAAAATACAATCTGTCACGTGTTTCGCCATGTGACACTTGAAAATGCATTAATTCAATTAATATACTATTCAAAAAAAGTAGGGGATATTTGATTTTTAAGTGTTATTAAAGTCACCTAATGAAACTGACGAAGAAACAAATGACAAAATGAAATGAAGTTCACATTCATCGATTTATTCCAAATGATCGTTAGACTAAGTAAGGCACAGACTGACCATTATAAGGGTAAAATGATACCCGGGGTCAAACAGCAAAGTTACCACAGCATCACAACCAAGTAATGTGGTGATGTTCTGTTGTTGGAGGTAACCTGTAACGATCCTGGCCCTGTGACATCTTGCGTTGTCATCCTGGAAGATGAAACGGCGGCCATGACGTCCTGCAACAACATGTAAAGCCGTTCTTCCAGCAACAGTGATGCCTCCCCACACCATAACAGAACCACCCCCAAATCGATCATGTCTGATGACGTTAACGTCTTGGAAGCGCTCGTTTCGACGACGCCACACCCTCCTACGTCTGTCCAAAAAATCAACAGTGAACCTTGACTCAACTGAAAACATCACATTGCTCCAGCGTCGATTATCCCAGTGTTGACGATCCCTACACCAACGACGTCTTGCCTGAATGTGATAATCTCTCAAACAAGGGATCACGCGAGGACGTCGGGCGCGAAGGTGACCCCTATGCAGTCGATTCCGAATCGTCTGGCCACTCACTCTCACACCAGTGTCTGTTTGAAGACGAGCGCTGATCTGATTTGCTGTGATGACACGATTTCTCAAGGCCAAGGTACGGATAAATCGATCCTGGGCTTGAGTTGTCGCCCTTGGTCGACCTGAGCGTGGTCTGTCCTGTACAGATTGTGTATCACGGTATCTGGACCATAGCCTGCTTATGACAGACTGAGAAACATTCATCGTCCGCGCCACAACCGCCTGTGTTGTGCCGATCTGTAGCATGCCAAGGGCACGTAACCTTTCATTTTGGGTAAGCCGACGCATATCAAAATTTGTTTTCTGGTCACTAAAACAATTAAACTGATGTTTCCACCCTGGAATTCAATGCCACAATGACTGTAACATTCAAAGTCAGAGTCGTGCAAATCTTGGGTTGGACCCCCATGATGATCCCAAGCATCACCTGCATTCCATGCGGTAGCTATTGGTGCGTTTGGGCGTCACATGTAACTGGAAATGTTTCTTCTGTTAGGTTCTATAGTGACTTTTTTCGTAGTCATTTGCATATTTTAGTATTATGCCCCCAAAATCAAATATCCCCTACTTTTTTTGAATAGTATATTAAATATTAATCAATATTATTAATATTAATTCAATTAATATTGCTTTTGTCCGAGATGATGTGGCGGCGGAATAGTCGTCTTAGTACTAGTTAACGAGCTCAAATGGTGGTTGGTTGGTGGGTGCGGGCGGGGGGGGGGGGGCTCTTTTACATAAAATAGGCTACATGGGGATGAGCCCATAAATATTCCAAAGTATCCTAAATACAGAATAGTCTTCTGTGATATCAGCAAGGCCTTTGACGGGGTTTGGCATGCCGGAGTCTTCACAAGGTGGATGCTGCGGGGGTTAACAGGCTCAAATGGTGGTTGGTTGGTGGGTGCGGGCGGGGGGGGGCGCTATTATATAAAATAGGCTACATGGGGATGAGCCCATAAATATTCCAAAGTATCCTAAATACAGAATAGTCTTCTGTGATATCAGCAAGGCCTTTGACGGGGTTTGGCATGCCGGAGTCTTCACAAGCTGGATGCTGCGGGGGTTAACGAGCTCAAATGGTGGTTGGTTGGTTGGTGGGTGCGGGCTGGGGGGGGGGGCGCTATTATATAAAATAGGCTACATGGGGATGAGCCCATAAATATTCCAAAGTATCCTAAATACAGAATAGTCTTCTGTGATATCAGCAAGGCCTTTGACGGGGTTTGGCATGCCGGAGTCTGTCACAAGCTGGATGCTGCGGGGGTTCGAGGAGAACTACTGCTCTGGTTCCTAGATAATTTAAAAAATAGACAACAATGTGTAACCAACAATGGCATCTCCTCGGACCCCAGAAGCATCCCTAGTGGTGTTCCACAGGGACCTGTACTAGACCCTCGTTTATTCTTAATATACACAAATGACATTGTGAACAATATAAACTCAAACATCAGATTATTTGCTGACGATACCTCGTTTTACTTAACCAGCGGCTGTCAGGCAGGATACACCCACATTTTGCAAGAGATGGATAGAGAACAAGCTAAAATCAAACGGGATTTTTTGTACAATCAGGGGCAATATCAAAAGGGTCCACAACCTTCGTATTGCATACTTTTACACAATTTGCGTACAAAGAGCGGCCATTTTGTCGGGCAGTTACATTTCGATTTTCCTGAAATTCGAAATTCAACCTTCATTATGGTGGAATGGTGAAATATTTAAATGGTTTTTAAAATCGGAAAAAAAATTGTGACCTCTAGAGAATCCGCAAGCTAAAAATGAGATTTTTCGAACAATCAGGAGCCATAATCCAGGAAGTTACGTTCGGATATACGCGATTTGAGAACGAGGGACGGCCATTTTGTCTGTCAGTTTTGGGTCTATTTTCACGAAATTCGAACTCAGCCATCCTTAGGGTGTATACTAAAACGGTTTTTTAAATCGGATAAAAATTATAACCTCTATAGGGTCCACAAGCTAAAAACGCGATTTTTCGTACAATCAGGGGCCATAATTCAGGAAGTTACGGTCCGATATCGAAAGGAACCGAGCTCTTTGGGTTATAAACTTACATTTCAAGTTTCATCAAAATAGGATAAAATTTGTCACTTCTATAGGGTAAACAAGCTAAAAACCTGATTTTTCGTACAATCAGGGCCATAATCCATGAAGTTTCGATCCGATACATGCCAATATCGAAAGCAACCGAGTTCTTTTGGAGATAAACCTATATTTCAAGTTTCGTCAAAATCGGATAAGAATTGTGACCTGTAGAGTGTCCACAAACAAATTGTGGACGGACGGACGGAGGTCCGGGCGTCCGGACGGACAGGGGCGACGACAATATACGTCCACATGAAAATGTGGGCGTATAAAAACGAAACTGAAAGCGAAACTTTTACTTTCGTCTTCATTTTATTAGGTGCTAAAAATCTCGAAGTTTTTCGATATTTTTGGCAATTGCGGACCTTCTTCCAACCAATGTGCTTTAGCAAAGTGACTTCCAGTTACCTCAGATATACGCCAAGTGGCACTAGAGACTATGTGTCTTTCAAAACGTTTCGTAGAGTTGCTCGTCCCAGGACCTGGATGTCGCTGTCGCGGGCCATGAAATAAAGTCCACCTAATGTGTTTTGATGGATTATATGTGTCGATTCAAAATTCGGATGATGCCAATACAAATTAGTATTCCAATATGGCGACTTTATTCAAAATATGGCCATATTTGAAGGGAAATTTCGATGTTAGCAATGTGATGGCATAATACGTCAAATAGTATGTTTTCGGGGTAGGCAAATTAACATCTGAACCGCAAAATGTGCCATGACTTCACTCAAATTTGAAAACAATTAGGATAATAAGGATAAAAATCACAATAATAAGGGCGA